AATTAAACTAAATTAAAGGAATGGTCAATGTTTAGCTTTTTTTCTATATTTCTTTGCATTTATTCATCTTTGAATTCAACTTCAATCTACAACCGAATACATATATATCCATAAGGAGCAAAACCCTGTGTTCTGCATTTGACAGCCCTTATGTCAGGTGTTGGATGGTTCTTGGCTGTTATTTCCGTCTCATCCAATCTTCCACAGATTTGCCAGATGATCATCTGATCTCCTAGAAGGTGGATTACCAAATGAGTAACACCCACTGTGTGTGAATGAGGAGGCAGGTGAATGATGATGACTCAAAAAGCAAGAGTGAAGAAGCTCATGAAAGGTGCTTCCTGCTTTAATTACGGTTTCAGTCTAATCGCTGCAGAAATGTGGCGTCCTGATTAGATCTGCTCTGTTTAAACAAAAAGCTTCTGTGCTTTTTTGTTGTGCAGTTTGTGTTATTTTTGCAGCGGAATAAAAAGAATAAGATATTTTACCTAAAATAAATTGAGGGAAATTGTTAATGCAAGCATAAATTAAATGTATCAGTTTACGGACTTAAGTTTGTTTCCCTATTGTTAAAAGGAAATATCATGCTTTGTAAACTGACATAAAAAAAAAAATGCAACCCAGAAATAAAACTTTTTTTTATTTATTTATTTTTATTTTTTTAACTTTATTTGATTTCTGGCTTGAAATAAAAGGTTGTGAGAGTTTCATAGACTTGTTTTTAAGGTTATTTTGTTTTGTTTTTTTTATTTACATTTTCTAATTTTAACTTTTCAGATCTTTTCAAAAACATTTCTCATTTTATATGTTTGAATCTTATATTTTCAAAATTATAATTTTTTATATTTTTTTTACATATTTTATATTAAGTTCTTTTTTTAAAACTTTGTTTAATTTCTGGCTTGAAATAAAAGGTTGTGAGAGTAAATTTTGCTGTTTTCATAGATTTTGTTTTTTAGGTTATTTTGTTTTGTTTTTCTTATTTACATTTTCTATTTTTAACTTTTCAGATCTTTTCAAAAACATTTCTTATTCTATATGTTCGAAACTTATATTTTCTAAATTATGATTTTAAATATTTTTTTTTACATATTTTATATTAAGTTCTTTGTTTAATTTATGCTTTACAAATTAAATTCCCAGGTCAAATTCTGTTCACTTCAAGGCCAATACAAGAACACTCTTAATCAACCAATTAATTCATTAATTAACAATTAACCAATATAATTTTGTCAAAATAAAAATGCGTCTTCACTTCTCACCATAAAGGAAAGTCGGCTTCCAGAAATGAAGAGAATGTGATCTAGATAACGTATTTTGAAAAGAGTTCATAAAACCGAATCTGAAAAAAATAAATAAAAACTTTACAAAAAATGTTGATCCTGTCAAAGGTTTACATGAAGGTTGATCTGATTGTCTATCGGCATAAATCACCCAAATCAGTCGGATTACATTTTCATTGCGATCCTACGAAACACAATCAGAATATCCCGACCGACATGTTTATGTGACACATTTTCAATAACTATTAACTTCTGTCCAGCTTTCTTTTGCTTTCTTTTGATTCTTACTCCTTTTTATTCCACATCTACTCCATTCATCTAATAACTTTTCATTTAACTTTAACATGCCTGATCTATAAACCTTTTGTGTCTCTATATTTCTATATTTCCTTGTGTTTTTGACAGCATCTAGTGTGAGACTCAAATCTGCATAAAATATACACATATTTTCAGAGAAACACAGCACACATGTCCACTTTCACCAGCTTTAGCTTTGTAAAGCAAAAAGCTGTACATAGGTTAACAAAGGTACACAGCTGTACATCATGAAGGTCATTATGAACCCATTGATGTGATGAAAAAAAGATAAAGCAGACAGCTCTAGTTAATCAAGCTAGAAACCACCAATCAGGGTCTGGGTGTAGTGATGGACTCAGATCTGAACGTGCAGAGGCTCATTAAAACTAGTCTTGCACCGATACCAGTATCAGGCAAAGCCCCGAACCAGCACTAAAATGGTGGTATCGGTATCGGCCACTACGAACAAATAGAGCACCGATTCCATTTTGAGAGACAAAAGTTTATTCAACTATTGTCATCTATTCCAGTTAGGCAATAAAAAGTTCTACTGGATTCACTTTGTATTAGTCTTTTTTTTTCCTGCTTAACAAAGGTAGGCAGCAGCTTGATTAAGCCATGATTGCAATTATTTTGCACCCAAGTAGTACGCAGTTTTTCATATATATATATATACACACATCAATTTAGAACAGATGATATTGGTATGGTATCGGCCAATACTGCACAGCTAGATATCGGTATTGGGGCCAAAAAATGGCATCAGCGCGACACTACTAATTATTAGACGTTACAAAACCAATACAGTCCTAAGGAAAAATTACTCTGTTCTGATTTCACAATTGTTAGAGGAACAAATCTGTTTGTTTCTAAATAAAGAAAGAGCATTGTCACTTTTGCCAATTATTCATGTTTGATGTAACATTTCTGATAGAAACGGCTACTTTAGGGTGACCATATTTTCATTTGGGAAAACCAGGACACCTTGGAGGGGGGGTTGATTGAAAGAACAAATGTCTCATCATCGCAGAACAGTGGTGAAAATTGGAAGTTCAGTTTACTATAATACAACTCTGTGAATAGTTCCATCTGAAATGAATGAAAAT